CGTGTTCTGTGGTTCTGTGTGCCAGCAGTCCTTGCAGATGCCACTGGGAGACAGACCTGAGCTCCATGATTAAGGTGAAGGTCACCCCCCTTCAGGGGGGAGAGACGGTGAGGCATGTCTGGCGGTAAACAAAGGACACAGCAAACAAGCAGCCTTCAGACGAAAGTCCCCCCCCCCCCCCCCACAGATACATTCTCACAATACCTTTAAAAGTGAGGAATTGCAACAGATCCAAATACTTTAAAGAGTTTCTTATCTTTCTTGATTTAATTAAATTGTGTTATCTAGCTAATAGTATTAATACATCTTTTGAATCAGAGCAAGATAGCAAGAAAAAATAGTAAACAGTTTGTCCTTAACTTTTTGGCCTTAGTAAGTATAATTTGTGGTATCATGTTCTTTTTTTGTTTGTCTTCTTGTGAAGCATCAATTCTGAGCTGTATCAAGATTATAAAGCTCTTGGTGTGTTTACCAAATTATAGAGTACATGTTTACAGGAGAAGCTGTGGTGAGTTTCTTAGTGAAAGGTGTTAATCAAGGGTGATTTCTGTGACCCTGAATGTTTGAGGTCAAGGAAAATCTCCAGAGTTCTTAAGACAAACAAAATCATAAAAATCAAAACTATTCTGAGGTTTGGTTTGTTAGGATTTCAAGGATCCAGAAAAAGGTTAACGACTCACTTTGGGTGATTTTTGTCGGCACAAACATTCACAGTGCATTGTTGTGGGGTACTTACCTTGCTTACCCTGTGTTTTGCGGTATAATATAGGCAGACCCCGGATTAAGAGCATCTGACTTACGGGTAACTTGTGCTTAAGAACAGACTACCATAAAGCCTGTTATATTAAAAATCTAAGTTAAATAGTTAAGTTCAATGGTTTGTAATAACAAACACATGTGCTACTTTGTGACGTTTGTGAAAACATTGTACGGTTCTTTAGCTTATGGGACAGTACAGTATCGTATATAGTTACTTTTTTATTATCACATGATTATTACTAACTTGAAGACAGACTTAGGGAGCGGATCTTGTTCATAACCCGGGGAACCCCTGTGCTCACTCAGTGCCCCCCTTTTCCCCCGCCCCCCCCCGAAGTACCCCCCTCCCCCATAGCACCACCCCAGCTGCTGAGAGCCGGCTCCACCTACCTGATCATCCAACTGAACACCAACTCCATCCTGGGGGATGGGCCCATCATCCGACGGGAGATCGAGTACCGCGCCAGCCAGTCGCCCTGGTCCGAGGTGCATGGCGTCAACATGGTCACCTACAAGCTATGGCACCTGGACCCGGACACAGAGTACCACATCAGTGTGCTGCTGACCCGGCCTGGCGATGGGGGCACCGGGCCCCCAGGGCCCCCCCTCATCAGCCGGACCAAGTGTGCAGGTAAGACCCTAAATTCTACCTCCCAGGTGACAGGTATAGGTGCTTATTGAGGCATAATGAGTAGCACTATGGCCTGGTGTCTCCAAGGTTTAGGCTTTGGCTATGTGACGTTTACCTTGTGTTTGTGTGGGTATTTCCCTCCGGTCTAAACATGTGCAGATGGAAGTGGTGTCTCTAACTTTCCCATAGTACATTACTGTGTGCCCTGTGATGGACTGGCATCCCGTCCAGGGTGTCCCCTGCCTCGT